TTTATGCAGAAGAAATTTAATCTACAGCAATAATGTTCCAAATTCAATATCCTTTTTGATGGATTAAACATCACAGCATAGGAGTGATGTAGGAGGTGACAAGGTTAGTGGAGCTTCTCTTTGAAATACACAATAAACTAGTTAGGCAGATGCTGCTTTAAAGGTGTAAGAGTGGCATCATCCCTAACTAGCTTTGTCACTTTTTGAGACTCCAGCTCTGTTGGCTATTTGTCCAACATCGCCCCCTAGCAAACTAAAGCAGAAGTACATCAACATGGATGTCCTGTAACAACGTGGAAATGCTGGAATAGCAAATCTTACATGTAGAAATGTTTTAATTATTCAAGTAGGGTGTCTTAAATAAATGATATTTGTGTATGCAACTTTGAGATAGCACATTGGTTGAAGATATGAATCCTAAAGATATTCCTATGATGTAAAAATAGAAGGCAGAAAAGGAAAATGATGGTGCTGAAATGACATGCTTTGTATTGTACTTATGGTTTTATCTTAATCTTATGCAAAGCACTTGTGATAATATGAGCATGTTTTCCTTGTATTTCATTACATTGTTTACTTTGCCTTGTTATCATGTTTATGATAGAATAAACTAACTTTGCATTTTTAGTTTTTTTTGTTTTGATGAATTAACTGCACAAATCCAATCTATTAAGTCATGATAGTCACAAGAAAGCTGATCAGCTCACAACAATGGCAAGCAAACGTTAAAAGCACCACATAGTGACAATATCACAAACTGCAGTAGCTAAAGCAAGGATATATGTTCTGTACTTTCAATACACATTGCTTATTTGGACATCAAGGTAGTTGAAAGAGGTACATGCATACTTACAAACATGGTGCTCAATGTGCATGCATGTACCGATAAAATTCTTCTTTAGGCAATTGATTATAATATGATTGACCAGGAACCCAGTTCTGAAAATTGTTGACACATGAATACCTACAGTATCTCACATTACTACATGCTGCCATGTATGCTTGAAGAACTAGTTAATTCCCCATCCTGTTCTAAATTTCTGGGGAGATCCCTGAACTGTAATTTTAAAAGTTATTTGTCTGCGAGTCAGAAAAGATACTTCATGAAGTAGACTGGCAGAAAATTACACATGTATTATTATAATCCATGGACTTAGGAGGGTTCTGACTCCATGGATAATCCTGGACTTACTAATACTATGTATTTGTAAGTATTGACATGTGTCCGTTGTTTCTAATGCACATTTTAGTATGATTTTACACTGATAATACATGTACTTGACTAGACTTATATGTGCATTAACCTTATACCTCATAGGTATGAATTAAAATGTTGAGTGAATGTACCTGTCATCTCTAGCAATAAAGGTCAAATTACTCCCTATGATCTAGACATGAGGTAATATGACATGATATGATATGGGATAAATGCTCAGTATAAGCTATATTTTTGCTTTTGATTAACCTTCTCTCTGCTCTGTAACCTTTACAAATTCCATGGTGCAATGATAAAAAAATAACAGCAAGAAGTGTGTTAAAACTCCTAAAAAAAGTTTACTTGGGGTTTTTAGGCCACACCAATTTAATTTCTTGGTTAACGGATTTTTCTCGAAAAATAATGGAGCGGGCAGGCAAAAAAAAAATAAAAATAAAAACAGGCCTAGGCATCCTATTATGGCCCCAAATGGTACGATAGGAGCCATGAAGTCAACACACCAGGCTGGCTCAAAATTTAAACAACGAATTTTGAACTTTTAATGATACCTTTGCATTGAAAGATGGAATAACAACTAGGATGAAAAGAACTGTTTTCAACTGTTCAGGGCAAAATATGAGTATTTTGCAGTTGATTCTGAATTCTTATTTTTAATTTTATTTGCAAATCAGAAAAAAATGAAGCGGGTGAATCCGTTAACCAAGAAATTAGATTGGTGTGGCCTTACTGTTATTGAACACAAGAAATTTAACCCTGTCAACCACCTACCTGATGCAATTACACCTGAGCAAGGCAGGAGGACACTGTCAAAAATTTGTTTTGCATAACTGATAAATGACCTTTTGGCGTAACACAGTTTTGTACAGTAAGTACAACGAAGCTATGTGTGACTGAAGTATAGAGTTTGATCCACTCATACTAGGAAGGACCTCTAGTCTTTTTTTATAAGTCTGGTGGATTCTTTAACATGCTCAAGGTGTTACAATACATGTACCTCCATTTTTCATGGAGGTCAAAATGTGGCCTGTGGCTTTATCTTCCATCCGTAGGATGTCCGTAACCAAGAAATTCAATATGTAAAATTTAGATATCAACACAGATGAGCTTTCATACTCCTATAGTATTTGTGCTCGAACCATACTCACCACGTTGCCCATTCACTTCTGTAGCATTTTTAAAGACCTGGTCCACTTCAAACTGTAAAAGGCAGTGCAGAGTCAGTATGTACTGGTAAGAAAGAACATCAAATAAACAGCAACTAGAAATATGAATGTCTCATGAACTTGTACTGCTTTAATATTAGGCCTAAGAAAAAAAAATGTTGTGTTTTCTGTTTCCCAACTGACCCTAGAAAAAACTGCCAACCCTTTTTTGGGGTGAACCCCAACAATGGACATAACTTTTTTGAGCTGATCAACCTTTTCTAGCACCATGATTTGACACCTGAGTGAAGAAAATGTTGTAAAATCGGTTTTCAAATATAAATTTTTAAAATACAAGTGTCCGCATGCGAGTTTTACTTTGTTAAACTACATTATATAAGTTGGATCACTAGCTATACATGTGTATATAGAAAGACGTCGCCAAGGTAAAAAAATATATATATAATCCCTATCTACCGACCCTAATTTTTTACAGGCAACACATAATTTTTTTCCTAGGCCTTAGTGACAATGTGAAAAGCTGATCCACCTTTGAAGGTTTGTATCCAAACAAGGAAACTGTGGCCACTTTGACATCTTCTCTGTTCAGATATCCTTTCTGTCCGGAATCATATTCATAGAATGCCTGGAAATACATAGCAAAACTCCTAATATACAAGTGATACAATAATGTACTACTAGTACCGTAATGTACAAACTATGAAATCAGTCATATTGTTCAAACCTCCTTATTATGGATGATGGGAAATTAGATTGCTTTTACTACAAATTACAGAAAAGTAGAATAGCTTGTCTACCCCTATGTCCTTTAATATGTGGAGACCGCCTCTAATTAATTTAATGACTTCATAAAAGTTCTAAACATTGAAATATGTCCAAATAAAAAAAAATATAGGTAAGACCATCCTTACTACCATATTTTGACAATAAATCAGCTTATACTTCTGTGTGAAAAATGGGCTGAAAGTCTACAGAGTAATATTACTGTTTGCAAACAATGCCAGCCACACCCTGCAACACCTAACACTAAAGTAAAGACATGGAAGCGTGACATTGGCCAGCTGTACCCCCCTCCCCACTCTTACACACTCACAGCCGCGATCAAGCGCCGATCCTGCTCAGTCACGGCCCGCGGTGGACCCGCTATGGTCTGCCCGAACACGAGAGAGGAGGTGGTCATGATATTTTGTCCCACATGTTGTCAGATACGACAGATTCCTTCCACACTATTCATTAGAAATGCCGACTTTTGTCATGAAAGGCTTATCATGGTGCTTGTTTTTACCGCCTCTTACGAGCTCTGTGATTGGTCCATCTGCACGCTATTTTCTCACGTGTTTGTAACGATCGCCGGGATTGGTTCATCGGCGGCAGCCTCTTTCTCATATCAATCCTTCTTCCTGTCGATCCTGAAAATGGCGACTCTGTGAATGTAGCAAACATTCGCCGCGATTTTACCGTATTTTTGGACTTTCTGGGACCAACGTTTTGAACAGTAGTGATGAGCTCAACGCGGACTGGTGTGAAAAGGACACGGAGAAGACCTAGGCCCAAATCGGCCACGGTTTCGGCTCCCGTCGCGGGTAGGTCTCCTCGCCTTTGTTGTGCCTAGCTATGCGGGGCCTTGTTGGTTGGGTTGCCGGATCCGCGAGATGCGGCCATTATTTACGTGCTCTTCCTCTGCTCTTTCCTTTCTTTTTATCTGCCCCTATATCCCCGGCTAGTCTCAGTACCTCCTCGTTAGATTGTAGCAGTTATCTATGGGGTTGTAGGGGCTGTGGTCAGTTGTGTTCCATTCGAATTACATGCCTTTGTTTTGCACAAATCGCAGACCTCTGGCCCCACAGGCTGGCCGGCCGAGCCTAGGTCTGGTCCCAATATCGCATTACCCGGCGTGTGCTTTGTGTTTTCATGCATGTCTCTGCGGCCTCTTCCCACCAGGGACTCCACTACAAACTCTACACGAAACAAGCATATTGTATATTGCAAAATTTCACCAACATCACGGCGTCAGATGATGTGTGTGACGAACGTATTACGGTGCATGCGAAACTGCGACAGCCAGGGGTTGTGCTCTACTATGGTTGACAATGGCTGAGTATGCCGACAAGAATTTCTGGGCTGTGTCCACACCTTAATACACGCTGCAGGCATGCCTTTGTAGCTGTAGAAGCAAACCCTGCCGGTTAAACTGTACAGCAGAGCACTACAATTGCATGCAGTTTGTCTAGAAGGTGAAAATTCCAGAAAAAATTTATTGATTAGCAAAATAGGCACCCATGCCATGCCCTAAAACTGACTTCCTGTTGACCTGGAAGTGACCTAGGTGCAGTGGGAAAAGTGCGTCAAGATTGTATTTCCCTTCTTTTAGACATTTAAAGCATTGGTAACTCGGCTTTTGAAGTTTAAACCCACAAAAATGAAATGCTGTGTTTCTTTTGCAGTGGTGCGGTTGAAAATAATGATCCGATGGGCATAATAATTTGATGCAGTGTAATTTTGGGGGTACTTCAATGCCCAGGGGCCTGCACCTCAATTTGCACCTGGCAGTATTTTACTACGATAATCACATTACACATAGCAACATCTGCACAAGATCAGTCAGCAGCTAGATTCTGCATCGGGTTAGCAGAATTACTACTAGAATGGAGGCATGTGGGAGACTAAAGGGTCACACCTTTCTTCAGTATTTTTTTTCTGTACATCTGCTTCTCTTGTGGTGAGATGAAGAGATTTGCTTCCTCGCGTCTGCTTCAATTTTTTTTGTTGAAGTCAAGTGTTTTTCCCCATTCCATCCTAGCACCATCGTAGAAGAGAAGACGGTATTCTGAAAGTGTCCATTGCAAGCATCTGCAATGTGTTTTTAAAAATGTACAGCTGCGACTATTGACTTACATGATAAAAAACATTGATTATTCCAAATCCCCATGCCATGGGATGTATAGTTGGTCTGTAGGGTAGGATTAGGGAAGTTGATTACAAACACTTTATCATGATGTTCCCTTGTCTCTCAGGTCCCTCCTCCTCTAGAACATCAGCAACCAGCAGTACTGTAGAGGCCAGTCATCCCTACAGGCTGCGCAGGAAAAGTCGAGCGGGACTGGTAAGAAGGAGATCTTCTATTATTGCAAAAAAGAATGTTTCGTACATTTTTTTGTAGCATTTTAAGACATATTAGATTATAGATTAACATGGAGGACTAAAGAACAATTACTGACAAATCACAATTGTATGTAAAAAAAAGTATCTTCTTCATTGTCAAAGTTACTTTAGTTATCTACTAGTGCTTTGAAAAAGCAGTGTTGATAGGCTGATTTTGTTTGTATACAGTATAGCATAGAAATTAATGCATATGTGTATAAATAAATTAGATTCTGATTTTGAGCAGTATGATTCTGTTTGTTGTAAAATAGAAATGTAATATAAATCAAAAATAGCTGTCAAAGCGTGTGTCTAAGATTTAAGGGATGACGCATACTCAGTTACGTATAAAGATATTTGAGCATGTATGAAGCATGTGTGGGTAGGTATGGCTAATCCTTCTTTGGTATATGCATGGAAGGAAAGTTGATTACATCAATACATGTAGCACTCCCATGCTAACCTGAAGACCAAAGGTGCCCCATGTGTGGCTGTACTGAATATGCATTACAGCTTTATTGTTATAGATGAGCCTCAGTAGATAATACAGGCCCTTCAAAGGGGATCTGAGGCAGTGATTTTCACGCCTAGAACGTTGTTTTCTCGTTAGCAGCAACCTGCCTCGGGGGCGCAGAGCGACCATGACAGTGACGTAGGCTTACCTGTCCGCCAGCCCAAGCGTTCACGGCTGTCCATTCCAGAACAAGACCACGGTACGGTTAACCTAGCACAGCTCACAGCTGGAATCTGTGGGGATTTCCCTAATTAATTAAGGACTAATGAATGAGTGACTACAACGCTGATAAAACACAGTGTACAGAATGTACCAGCAATACTCTTACTTGGTAAAATTTGGTGCATTTTTAGAGACTTTGTTGTAGCAAAAAGATTGAAATCGTTCCTTTTGTGGGGAGATGTGAGCCAACCAAAGTCAAAACTTACTATCACTTGAGCACAGGCAGGTGCAGTTGGACCTCACTGTTTACATAAATAAAACCTCTGTAATTCCTGGTTACAACCTCATGGATATTAGTACCTTATTTGGGCACCATTCTTTAGACCAAGTCATGGTAAAATTGCCCGTAGCTAGTTAGGTAGAACGCGCCATCCAAGAGTGCCCTTTATCACATAGTGAAATCTCTAAGTGCACAGAACAAATAGGTAACAATTAAAGCAATTGCTGTGAAAAATGATCCTTCTACAATGTCTTGCAGAATTACTGTGCTTCAGAGACCAGTTGTCATAATTCTTGGTCCCCCCACCACTCCACCCCTTGAGTTTTTAATGAAGAGATTGGTCTAAAATTGAGACTTATGAGGTCCACTGGGTATACCTTTTGTTAACAAGCAGCTGATGCCATGGGAGGATTCATCGAAAACTGATGCAAAGATACTGTTAAGATTAGAAGGTCAATATCGGCGGTTCATCATGAAGAATGGAGGGCTCAAACGCAATCAATTTTGGTTTAAATCTGGGCTGGTATACTGTAATAACAAGATCTTTAGGGGTTGTATTGTGGCCAATCAGGAGGCTGCAGCGATTGATCAATTTATCTCCAGAGGACCGAATGATGACACATGAATAGGCATTGTTCCCACCGTGCTCTGTCTGGATGCACCATGAGTCACCGGTAAAGTAAACGTGTGCAGAAGGATTAGGGAAGAGGAGGATTGGGGATGGGTCAGCTGGGACGGTCAGCAGAGTGGACAGATGTCAGGGGTGGACAATGTCTCTCCGGCCAGCTGCATGCCTCCCCGGGCATGCCCCACTGCTTTGAGCAGTGCTCCAGAACCGAAACGACAAATTTGTCATCGCATTATCCCAGCCACAATGGGTGCCGAGATGGTGTGGTGCCTGTAGAGAATGGCACTAATGGGTTAGCCAGTCTCTGGTTTCCTTCAGTAAGTGAAGGAGAAGAAATCATACACGATTTTGATAATGTAAACTTAAAAGGAAGCTCATCATCATCCAATACTGGATTTTAAAAAAAGCATCAATATTATATGTACCACAAAGAGATCATACAAGTTCTTTTTCTGTTCCACCTAGAGATCAATTAATGGACTGCCCTTATGTTGAAAAATTGGATGACTTTTTTAGAGGTTAAAGAGGTTTAAGTGCCTCAGCATTGTTTATATTTTATGGGTCTTGATTAAATATTTAGCTTTTGGATAAAAGCAGAAACACATCAGTGAAAAAGTTTTTTCTGCTTTTGTGTGTGAATGTAATTATGTGATGTATGCTGTGTAGCCATGAAGTAATGTCTGCATTAGAAGACAGCCTAGTTAATTTTTTACCTCCAATACTTTCTGAAACATAGGTGAAAGAAAGGCTAGTTTTACAAATCCCAGTCTTTTTTTTTTGTACCAGCTGGTATTATAATGAACTACTACGTTCTTTGTACCAACCTTTTCTAAAGCTTCTGTAAGTCTTGAAAGTAAATAAAAGTGAATTATTGTTCAGGACCTTTAGTGCCGATTTCATGGCTTGAATGCTCTTTGTTGGGTACCTATCCAATGACAAATACTTTAAATTCATTCAGTTGTATCTAAAATGTTTGTCTGTCTGTCTGTCTGTCTGCCAAGGCCCCCTAAGTTGTATCTAAACTGTGTGTGTGTCTGTCTGCCAAGGCCCCCTAATCAGCTGGCTGCAGGAGGAGGTGCCTGATGAGGTCCTGCTGAAGATCATGAGTTATCTGAAGGAGAAGGACCTGTGTCGAGCTGCGCAGGTCTGCAAGCGCTGGAACACCCTCACCAACGACCCCACAATATGGTACAACTCTTTCTCAACTTCCTTACAACAGCATTTTGTTCTTTATTGTCCTTAACCTTCACCCTGCTGAGGTTGCTGTTTAGCACCAAATTTGTATAGGTTGAGGGATTTGGTAGCAGGGAGAAGGTGAACAAAACGTATGTGATAGTGTTGTATAGAGCTGTGTACCGGTACGCAGTACCGATACTGTACCGGTAAAATTGATTAGGTACAGGTCCAAAATACCTAATCCCTCAGTACCGGTACTGTACCTAAACAATTTCACACCAATTTTATGCCTATTTGTGACCTCAAATGTGTAAATAACTGGTTAACAATGGGTCCCTGTGTAAGGACAGTGTGTTCATGAAAACAAAAACATATATATAGCCTATATTTTATCTGAACATTCGCCATAAACAAAGAATAAACCTTAACTATCAAGTTTATTTATGTTTTTTTTGTTATTGAAGGAGTTCAGAAGAGCATATAAATTGGTCGAATTGTTCAGGTACAGGTTCAGGTCCGGACCTGTACCTAACCCTGTGTACCTGTACCTGTACCTGTACCTAAAATTTGTTTAGGTACACAGCTCTAGTGTTGTACCATTGAATATTTAACCTTTAGCATATTGAAATAGCCACTTGGCTTCCAATTCTGTGTGGGGTTAGGCAGCATGAAGAAGGTTAAAGACCAATAGCGATCAAATGATATATCTATTCATCATGAAATGACATATCTATATAAATGATCTGTTTGTCATGAAATGACATATCTGTATAAATGATCTATCTATTCATCATGCAATGGTTTTTCCCAATTCTATATTGGTTATGGGGTTAGGCAGCAGGAAGAAGGGTAAAAACCAATAGTGATAAGAAAAATGTTACGAAATGTAATTTTTCATTGTTTCCACCTCATATGCCTGGTATCAAATGTTTTTTTTTTTCCTTTTTTTTTCAGGAAAAATCTATACACAGCAGTGTTTGAATATACCCAGCCCATGATGCATCCAGAGCATGGGAAATTCTACTTTGTGAAGCCAGAGGAATATAACTGTCCCAACCCATGGAAGGACAGCTTCCGCCAATTGGTAAGGACCAACAACTTCCATGGACACAAGCTGTATTTCCTTGTTGTATGTATTAGATTGTTGTGTAGGGTACTCCTGTTATAGAAGTTACTTATTAGCTGTACCATTCTGTGTTTTACACAGTACAAAGGTGTCCACGTAAAGCCTGGTTATGCTGAACACTATCACAACAATGCTGACCGCTACAAGGGCAGAGAACACATGTTGGTGAGTACAATACACAGTATATATGTCTTTGTACTGTGGAAAAAATTACCTAAAAGGTTAGTCTATGCTTCTAAAGCTCATTGGAATTTTCATTTTTTCATCATTTTGAAAATAGCCCAAGTCAAAGGTTATGCGTAGAAAAATCCATCTGATTGTAATTTTTGATGTTCATGTTGATATCATCAGTGTCACGTTTAATTGGTATTTGTTGGTTGCATAACTGATAAACTGCCTTTATCTGTAACACACCAGTTCTGTATTGTAGGTCTTAATGTAATACCAGACAGTGAGGTTTGAACTACTCACATCGGGAAGAGCTCCTCTTTTCAACTCTTTTCAATAAGTGTGGTGGGATCTTCAACATACTCGAGGTGTAGCTCTCCTGAAACACAGGACCTCCGGGTTTACATCAAAGAGGTCATCCCTAACCAGCCCTTTGGTACTTAAACCATCTCTAAGATACGTATGCTCAATGGAGAATTTTTTCCTTGCAGTATTATGACACCATTGAGGATGCGATGGGAGGAGTGAATGAATGTCACCATGAAGGTCTGATCTTCGTCCACTCTGGGATCTACCAGGACGAGTGGATCTATGTGGAATCTCCCGTCACCATCATCGGGGCAGGTGAGGGCAGAAGAACTTCATTTTAATTAAAAAACTAGAAAATATACAAAAGTTTCAAAGTGTTGGAGATGGTAGAATATGAAGTACTTATCTTATAACATCAAGCTAAACCAAGAGTGCCAAGAAACAGTTATTCAAGCAACTGGATATGATTTTGGAGACGGTGTCCAACATCATATGCAGTTGCTTGAGTAACTATTTCTTGGCGTATCTTACTGGTATTACCTAAATGTCTAACCTTCATCGACTTAAACTAAGAGTGTGCACTGCATTTTTGGCAAGTCTTTCTTTTGACAGTTGATGACTTTCTCAAAAGTGAACACATTCTCTTGTGTCAAATCCTTGTCCTCTAGATTATGATGTACAGACAAATGATGTTTCAAAGGTCCTTTGCTGATGTCTAGGTGTATTTTTCCCCACAGCTCCAGGCAAGGTGGCTGAACATGTGGTGATAGAGAACACCAGAGACTCCAGTATTGTGTTCATGGAGGGATGCGAGGACGCTTTTGTAGGATTTATGACAATCAGAGTGAGTACTTGATTATTTCCTCCAAAGAATCCGTATTCTTTTAGTTGAAAAGTCCTGTAGTGTTTGTACATGTACTGATGTAGTTGTGTGTTCTTGCATCAGAGATGTACACAGCCAAAATCTGCTATTGTGAAGACAGCTACACACATATACACTTTGTTGGTCAATGTAATTTTTAAATAAAACCAGATTTGTATTTTTTTTATACAACTTGGTATCAACTTACTTTGATAATGACTTAGGATTGATGTACCTTCAGCGCAGTTTAGTGGTTGCTTGCAAGACTCTTATATGAATCAGAGATACCGAACAAAAGACATTAATTGGCACTATTTGGTTTGATTAATTTTTGTTATTTTTCTGTTCATAGTTTTCCCCAGAAGACTCCTCGGCCACCCACCACCATGCGCACCACGCGGTGGAAATCAACACCAACTGCCGACCGATCATCAGTAACTCCATCATCCGCAGCTCTTCCACAGGTCTGTCAACTACTGCTTTCACTTCGTAACAAAATTTCAGGTTCTGAGGAAAATGGACATGTTCACGGAACAGAGGGGTAAAAGACAAATGATTTGATAATGATAATGATAAGTTCATAGTACTGCAGTGACTGTAAAAACAGCGAACATGAAAGTACCATGAAAAAATCAGGCATTACAGCACTTTCACCGCTTGTCCTGAGTGGTTGTCAACCTTGCCCCAGTGGTGAAGCACCATCTGTCAACTTGCTTGGTGATTAACCTTTATAACACTGAGGAAGCTGTTAATTGGCTACCAATTCTCTATTGTTAATGGGTTTAGGAATATCTGAGGTGTACAGAGTTGCATTTTTTCAGTGCTTGGAAGAGTGTGAAAGACTAAACAATTTGGTAATGGTAATGATTAGATCATAGTACAGAAGTGACTGAAAACTGTTCACATAAAAATAGCATGAGAAAATCAGGAATTACAGTAGCTTCATATCCCAATCTTATATGTAATTCTCAGTCATAACAGACTCTGCTGATTGGATGTTTGAGTTAATTGAGTTTTGTCCATCTGTCTGACAGTTGGTTCAGCGGTGTGTGTGACAGGAAGCGGTGCCCAGCCCACCATCCGCAACTGTAACATCAGCGACTGTGAGAACGTGGGACTCTACGTCACAGATCATGCACAGGTCTGCTTTATTCTGTACTCTTCCTTTTACTTGTCAAGTTTATGGATCTCTCCGGAAATTTAGAGCGGTATAGTGCTTGGGATAATCATTTTTCTTTTTTTAAAGACAATTTAAACAATTTGAGGCCATTTCCTAGATGTTTGGCTTCTTACCTGATCAAAAATTATATTTTAAAGAGATTTGTAAAGAGAAATTTTTGAAAATCACTATGATGGTCCCAGGATTACGGCATAACTGGGGAGCACCATCATTCCATCCTTAAGGGAGATCCCTGAAGTTACACGATATTTTAACTGTAGCTCTATGCTAATAGCTTTGATGTTTGATTACTTAGTTCAAAGCAATTAGCATCTCAAGTTGTCATATGGTCATGTACCGTGGTAATGTGTAATATCATTGAAGAAGAGTTTTGAATTTTCCTGTTGAATTGAACATCTGAAATAACAAAAAGGTTTTACATAAATGATTGGCCTTGTAGATATATAACACATATTTTGCTGTTAACTGCAGGGCTTTGTTGAAGACTGTGAGATCAGTGGAAATGCGCTGGCTGGGATCTGGGTGAAGAACTACGCCAACCCCATCATGAGACGTAACCACATCCACCACGGGCGCGATGTCGGCGTTTTCACGTTCGAGAAGGGGATGGTATGTTCAGCGTCTGTAAACACGATGGTCAGATTTGGGCCCAAAAGTCCCACTCCGCTACTATGGAGATCGAATCCCCCGAACCCGCGAATCTTGTTCGATATGACGTCATTCGAATAGAGCGGGCGTTCGATCTGGGGTTACCCGCGGTCATTTACAGTAAAGTCGCTACAACCGGCCACTTCAAGCCCTTTTTTACTTGGGAACCACGGAACAGGAAAAATCCACCTTTCCACAAATATGAACCGTTTTCAAAATATTACATCTATGCCGTGATTTTATTGTGGATATGTAACATGTAACGAAGCTACTGCCGTCATCGTGGGTGACCTTGAAGGTCAGAATTCTTGTTGACGCTGTTTTAAAATCCAGGTCCCCATATCCAAGTGGCACAGCATGCGTGCAAACATGGTATTTTAACCGCTCCCAAAAATCGCTCAAATTACCTCATTGAGGGCTTGTTTGGAAGAGGAACGATTTCCGCAGATTTCTGTCTTAGGGATTTTTTCAATATGGCCGCGATTATGAATTATCGGTATTTAAAGTTAAAACACTGCGTTTTTAGCTCTTCTTTTGACTGTAAGTCGAGTTTTAGTTAAAGAATAAAAAAATCCTAAGACAGAAAGTTTAAATTTACTGTAATATTTTTAAAAATCCCAAAATCTAACCTTATTTCTAATTTTCGGGGCCTCTTAAAATCAGTTGTTTGGTTCTCGTGAACCCTTTTTGAAATCCGAAATTGATCTCATTTGGAAGCAAATGTACACAAAGTGGAGCAAAGGCAGTGCAAGAATAACATTTGAGGTAAACAAAATCACTTATTACATTTTATTTTGACGAGTATTTACTCTCTCCAAGTACTTTTGTTTATTTTCAAATTTTACCCGTTGCCCCCGGGACTCCCGCGCGGCCACGTTCGAACACGTTCTGTAACCCGATACCTCCCTAGTAATGCGACTTTTAGCCTAGCAACCGACCGCCGTGAAAATTCCTTAGTGTTAAGAAAGGCAGGAATGTTGTTCTTGCCTTCAAGTACCAGTGTTACCAACCAAATTAGGTGTTCAAAAACTCTAAAACTTCAATTTTCCCTAGAACTATTGTAGAGTGGAACTTGCTACCACCTGACCAAGTACAGTTGGGCATCCTCACTAGATAGTTTTTAAACAATGCTTACAGTTAGATGTGCAAAGGTTAGGTTTAACAGGTCTTTTGTATGTATATGTAGCAATCCAACACTGCAAGGGCATTCATAACTGAACTGTGAAGCCAGGTACTCATTTTCACCTGAATCATGTGAAGAAATAGGTTTAAAGTGCCTTTCCCTAGGTCTGCCAGAGATTTGAACCCAGAATCTGAGTTAACAACCCTTACCACAAGAGCACATTGCAACCTTTCTTCAATTTTCTTTTCCCTCCTAGGGTTATTTTGTAGCAGTGTAACATCCACCACAACAGGATCGCGGGTTCGAGGTGAAGGCTGGAGCTAACCCACGGTGGTGAACTGTGAG